GTATAGTTTCTTTAAAAAATAGCTGATATTACTTCTCATACGTTCGATAAACTGCTACTACTACCATATATACATATGTACATATGTATATATATATATATATATATATACATATATTCATTCAGAAATGACTTACAAGAACAAGTACTTATCGACTAGTATTGTATAATCAAAACTAGCGCTAACAAAAGCCATGGCGCTTCTAACAGCGCGCGAGTTCTGTGCAACCATGTTAAATGCTGTACCAATGTAGCAGACGTCTTAGTCGCTGATACCATTTAAATATGGTAGCCATTATCAAAGCGATCACTGTCATGTAACCTCTTCAGGAAGCGTACTATATTTACCATGTACGAATAGAATTTTAAGCTAAAAGTATTCACAGTATTGGGACGCAACAATCGGCGATGTCAGCTACGTATTTTACATATGGACATGCTCTTATAGGTTGGCGTAAACGAGTAGCGAGGTTGTATGCCCCCTGAGGACATCTGACCTGTAAATTCTTATCCCTCTGCTTCTCTTGCGCATTCAATTTTCTTATTTTTTTACAAGATCAGAATATATTATATATACGCTAGAACTCCGGTCCTAGACTGGGTGCTTTTTTTTTGCCAGCTATACAAGTCACAATGGGTAGTACCGTCGAGGAGGGCCTAGCAGCTGGCCAAAGCTCACCCCACGTATACATTCAGTGGTACTCGTCGCTTTCGGTATGACGTAAAGGTTATGTCCGTTAGGGATATCATACTTCTTTCCAAGTCATCTTCGAATCTGTGGGGAATATAACGATGTCAAGTAAAGAGTGGATTTTTTAGAAGGTTTTCGAAAATATGCAGGGATAGTCGCTGATCTGGCTGGCCGTCTTCCTTGAAGAAGGTTCAATGTGGATCTAGGAAAACATTAAGGATTTATTTAGGAAGAAGCGTGAGGCAGGGTGCTTCACGATAGACGTTACGTGATTCATAAGCCAATAACGAGCTTTTAAGCAAAAGGTCATTTTGCCATGTCTGTAGGGTATTTTTCGCTAGTGAGCGACAGTAAAGCGTGTCTCTTATTGATTGCACTAGTATAAGTCATATATCATATGTGAGCTGCAAATCTGTAAACTCCATGATACATATCTAGGTCATAGATAAAATAATTCTTATACATGCGGCAGGTCTCCAATAAGTGAATAGGAAGTCAAGCATGTTTGAATATGAACCAATGACAGATAGTTAGAATGGTCTAAGATATTGTTATAATTACGGTATAAAATTGGCACCGATTGGCCATGGCGGTGATAATTAGATCTTGTTTACGTAAAAATGAAGCTTTTCTTTAAACCAAGCAAGTAACCAATATATGAATACTCATAGTTTTTTTTTAATTGCTTCTTGAAGAAAACCATAATTTTCCACTGCAAAGATGGGCAACTTTTTCGAGACCCACTGTAGCATCTGTTTGTCAAACTAAAAGCATAAACGTGGAGAGAGTCGTTATTTTATACAAAACAAAGTTTTAATAGTTCTTATATGTGCCGCTTATCTGTCAGCGTATTTGCGAAGAGCGCCAAATCGTAAACTGTGGTCAATAGAAAAAAAACTGAGCAAAATTATATTAAAGGCAACTAAACGGTTGAAACTTAATTTGGGGTACACAATAAACGTAATGTAAGTTTTCAATATGCCGCATCTACTTCATTTGGAAAACTTTCTATAAAATCGAAGAAACTCCGACTTGTCGACACTACCCCAAGTGAATTTTACGAGCATTCATCACACACCCAGAACCTGCTAACGGTTAAACGTATTTGACTAAAAAGAGTACTCTTTGCGTTTTACGTTGCCATCTTCTATACTTTCAGTGTCTAAAACCGTCTGAAATATCCTGTGGCACTTCTATTTCTAACCTTCAAAAAATCGAATAGCTAAAACAAGCCAGACGATGTATACCTTGGAAACTCTATAGTGCACAGACACAAAGATCTGTAGTAATATTTTGTCAAGCAAATATTGCCGTTATGGCCAATGTTACCGGTCACAACTGTTTAGTGAGCATCCTCCATATATTTTTTGTGTAAGACAAATTAATACACAGTCTCTCGAAGACCCTCAATTAGAGGTACCTAGACAGGTATCATGAATACGCGAACCTATTTGAAAAATACGTTGAATTATTAACAAATTTTATCTGATCTGTCAGATGTATCACAAATAAAATTTGCTCCCTTGCGCAATGGATGCCATTTCAACTAAAAATTAACTCACATTTTTATTTTCTGCTAAAATTGAATAAAATGTTATCTAAAATATAATTATAGGACGAAAACAGTGTGTTTCAAAAAAAAAAAAAAAAAAAGCTGGATTTATATATCAACTGTTCATAAGCAAGTAGAAAGATACGTTTAGTTCAGAAACAGAACCTCTATCTTGCTGCATCCTCGTTCAGCCAGCTTACGATTGAGATTAATGTGTTTACTAACACGTTAATTACGTTCTGTTGACACGATCTCCTCCATAATCGTTCCCATGGCTACATGACTTGGCGTGTGGAAAACTTGATACCAGCAGTTACAAGCTTCTGTAGAGCCTGCTATCAGCTACGTTGCAAAAACATCTGAATTTCACACATGTGCAACTATACAGCACAAAATTTCTGCTGAAATTTTCTGGCCAGCTTTCACAAGGCATTCAACTCTTACCGTAAGCTTCAGCTTCGGAAGATTGTGAAACTCTTCCGCTTAATGACGCACCTTCGTAGCCATTACTATCCAGTATAAATGTTTAGGCAAAGATTCAGAGCGATAACAAAGTCCAGCAGCTTCAACTAGAAAACCTTCTCAAACAGCTCAAGAGAAAAGATGTTATTCTAATCAAAGATTGCCCCGGCAACTAAACGCTGACTACCAACGAACTGTTTCGCTCTCAAGCTGAGACTGTGACATAAGCAGAATACCTATTGCAATAGATAGGCACGTAAGACACATTCAACACGTCGGAATTTTTGTTGTTTTGTAGCATAGCAGCAACATTAGGCTCGTGATGTTGATAAAGGTTTGCCTGATGTCAGCATCTAGGACTGAAATATTTAGCGTTAAGCTCGAAACGCTATAATTGTTTATAGGAAAATAGTGTTATATAGATAGTTACATGTAAAAATATATTAAGTAGACTAATAATGTGGGGACATCTGACTGCAAAAAAATATATATATATATCGGTGCTACTTAGCTACTTCGTCGTATACGTCCTGGAAAAATATGAACGTATACGTCGGTGAAAGCTTAAAAGGGACTTTCGAGGCTTACTATTTTCAATAAAGCATCGGTGCGCTACATTTACTCTGAAACATGTACATGTAACGGTCCTAGCGACAAAAGAATACGCAGGATTGAACCTTTTAATTTCCCATAGAGTCAAGTTCCCGTAATCCTCCCGTGCGAAGTTGACCTTTTTGTTGATATGTCCCTTACCTTTAACAGGAGCTCAGTAGAAAGTTAGTTTTTTGTTGGCTGTAGGTACAATCTACTCGTGGGGCGCTGTTTTCTTGGCCTGTGTATATACGAACAACAGTGACTATACTGAGGCTCGAGAGAAGACCGCTGATGTCGTACAAGAGCCTCAAACAAAACAACCGTTTGTTTTTAGAAATGGCAAGTCGGATCTCCAATCTTGGCACCAGTACAAGGGTTTGCAATCGTCACCATCATTATAGAATAACTGGGTAGTTTTTTTTCTCACAATCGAATAGCGTTCCAATGCCTAAGTATTAAATTGTCCTTGAAATGATAGGTGACGTCCAATGTACCATTAGTCAGTACTGACTAGTTTCACAAGTCGTTTATTAGTTTGTGTAATATCTTGGCTGATTTATACATAAACAATTACGTGAAATGCTAACTCTTGCCCAATACCTGTATGAATTTATCTAATCTATATAGAAACGTATGTGTTTATGATAATAGTGATTCATTAACGTACCTTTCGTCGAGTGTACTGTTTATCGTGGCAGATGATCTTCGGCTTGTTGACTTCTGAAGAGCAGACAGCCAAAAGATATAGTCATAATACTCTACACACGGCACAAGGTCAGGTCAAAAGTTTTATAGTATTATCGATTCTAATTTTATTCTTCCATTTTACGACACTGTCGTGTGACGGGCCAGTGCTCCGCGCATACCTGATGGAATCGCCCGAACCAATCTAAGAAGAAACGCTCCTCTAACTAATATATATATATATATAATATATATTTTTGTTATTATCTATTTTTGGCCTTGTTCATTTTATTATTTCGTGAGATAATTGCCTAGGAGAACATTATAGCAGAGCCCACTTGCTACGGTTCTGATCGCAGAATTGAATCTTGGACGTCTTTCTCGAGTAGCGAAGAATAATAGTATAGGGAACGTTTGCGTCGTTACTTCTTCTCGAGCTTTCATATTGTAAACCATCGGCGGTTGAAGCTATGAAACATAGCAGGGGGGAAAGGGGTTATAGATCCATACATGCAGTAAAGATGCGAACATTTTCAGCCAGTACAAGCATATAATTTGGTTATATCGCTGGATATGAGGTGGCGCAGACGTACGAAGGGGCGTTATAGCGCGATCTTAACACGTTCTCTACACTACGACTACACTTGTTAAAGAAAACGCGGGTTTACAATACATTTCTCGTATCCACCGCGCGGAAAGATCAGTAGTTAACATTGACAAGATTGTGGCTGAAATCAGTAGCAGCAGGAGGCGTCGGCTCCGTCGATTGCTCATAATTTTGTAAATGACACGGCAATTTTTGGTAAGCTGATACTGCCGGTAACTTAAAACAGACAAAGTAACAAATTTTTATTTTTAATTTAAACAGCTGATCAGCAGAGTTGAACGAAATACTAAAATTCAACCCCAACCTCGTTCAGAGCTTTGTCTATAATTTGACAAATGTATATCTATATGTAACGTCACCTGAGCTGTTTTTGGTTACTTAAAATGAGAACGTTTTGTTTTTGCTGTAAATACAAAACGATAGAGTGTTTATTTCTATTAGAATTTGACATTGAAATAGTCTTTTATCGCCATTATCTTCTTCACTTTTCACTGTTTCTATCTGTTTTCATTCTATTTGCTCGTCTATACTCAGTTACATCAAACACTTGTTACCCAGCTTCGTTTCCCCGTTCACTGTTCACTGTCCAGGTGCTACCGCCATCTGCACGACATACATCACACGTTCCGTCACTCATCCTCAAGCATATATATATATACTCCCTCTTTTTCTCACAGATGTCAGCTTTTATTTTTTAGTTCCTATACTATCCTCATCGATATTTGTTAATATTCTAAAGTTATACATACAGCGTAAATGAAACGTCCGTCATTTGTCGTTCGCGCACGTCAAGCAAAGATCACAAGAGCAAACTTTGTTGATGTTTATCTTTGTTACTGTCGTTTTTGACGTCTACTTGTTCTCAGTTCCCATTTTCCCCCTGTCGGCTAGTACACTGTCTGGCTACTATTCGGCCCAGTTTCAACAGTACTTTACACTGCTCGTGCTCATAAAGCACGACCAACGTAGAACATCCGGCTTTGAATTTCTATATTTTTGATGTATCGTTCTCCATGGTAGAAATTCGGAAGAGTCGTAAACGACTGAAAGCAATAAGTTGATGCCGTTGCGGTTTGTGCTGACCCCTATCTGTTGCCTATGTCCTTTTGCGCTGGCTCCACTTTTTTTCTTTTTACCTGTTCCCGTCGAGTGCTTGATTTGCTCCGTATCGACTATTTCCATTAAAAAATTACCCTAAAAATGATCTTAAGATATATATATATATATATAAATTAAATCTATCGCTCTCACTGAACAGTGCCAGTAGAAAGTAGACTCTGCTACCTAATTCTGTTACGTACGAGTTATTGTCTGTGATTTAAGCGATACTCTTCAAAGCAGCCGTAACGAATTGTTTGATTCGGATGGGAAGCTTTGATGGCAATACGTAAACACGTATGTGTCTACGTAAGTTGTCAGTAAGCTTTCGTTCAAATCTAAGCAGGGAACGGAGAAAGGATCTTTCGAGGACCGCGTCTGACGAATACGCTATAATTTCACATTGGTAACAGCAAGTCATCGCCACTCAGTGTTTTAATTGAAGATGAAAGATATATTGCATAATATGATCGAGTACCTTCGTTAGATTTTATTGCTTCAACTTGTAACGAAGAAAGTTAGGAGATCCTTGGACTTTTGATGGATACTTTTAAGTTTTCAATTGCACACACTGCATCAATCCTTCGGTATTTCGATGGCGTTGTTTCAAGCATCTGCCTTAGTTTTGTTTTTAAACCTAGGTTATTTTGTTTGGTTACCGCTCGAAGACCTCGAAGGCAAGATAACTTACTCATCAATTAGGCGGCTGTTGCAGCCAAGCAATATTACTCGACGACTTCGTAACATTGTCTGCACTGAAGCATCCGTAAACATTCGATCGATCATAGCACATACGTATAGTAACCTTACATTTATCCCTTATACCTGTATTTACCACAATATATATATATATATACTTGTGAATTTTTTCTTTTTTCCAATTAAGCTGCTGTGCGAAGATCGACAATGTTCTCGTATACATTTTTCACGAATAAATTTTATTCGGTTCATTTAAATAATATATTTAAGTAGAAAATTATGTTCAATCGACCAATTGTTGTCTCATTCGGTGCACGTATTAGCGGGCAGTGTGTACTTGTGCGTGCCATCCTATATTTTCAGCTTCTGATCTTTTTTTATAGAATAGGTAAATTTGTTATGCTAACGCATTCCCAGAGCGCCAAGTAGATCGACTAGAACATATATTGAGTTTTATCTTCATTTATATACTATACAATGTAACAATATGAGGAATGATTAATCAGAGAAGACTATGGTCACATTCACTAGGTGCCGCCACCTTCAGGCATTGACAAACACACCAGTTGCGCCGTAATATTAAACCGGATCTGATGATAAACAAAAACGGATTCGAGCATTGTATTCATAGAGATAATGAAAAAGTAAACTGATCATGTATTCGATAATAAAAAAAAATAATATAGGCCATCACAGACCACGTGCCTCAACGCTATTTTCAGTTTGTTTCCCTCGTTTTATCTCATCCTCCCCTTTTAGACCCGTGAACTCGATAAATAAGCTCCTGCATTCAGGCGCATAGTAACTGCTTTCTTCAGTTTTACTTAGTTTCAAAGCTTATTTTCTATTCGCTTATTTCTCCTGTGAACCGCTATCCCACGTCAGTGGCCTGCGTCCTCACTGTTTACCGTAGCAGAGTCTACTTCGCCTTCCACCATCGTCGCTACGGCAACGCATCGCGGCAGAAACTAACAAGATGCGTCTCCTGATCTTCCCTAGCCGCGATTGTGTAGTCGGATCGACATCTTACCAGCGGCAGTTCGAAACTGACGCCGCTAGAGCGTTCCCCATCTGTGTGCGCAACGAGAGCCACTTCAGCCATTGTCTCAATACCGACCGTTGTCGGCCTCGGGTGTTTGACGAGGGGGTAAACCACCGCCGAGACATTGCGGTCGGGGATCGCATGAGCTGAAACGAGAAAACTCAATGTGGCGAATGTTAAATAGCTTGTGCATAATAAAAAAAAAAATGGGGAAAAACGACAAACTTCTGGCACGTTTACCATTACTGGTTTTCATTTTATAGACGTTTATATTAAAAACTGTGGAACTGTTTCGAAAAAGAGAAGGCCGGGTAGATCGAATCAAAGGCAGGATCAAACAAAGCGAACTTTCATGTCCCCTGCTGGCGTTCTTCGTACAGCACATGTTTTTATCTGCATTATTCCTTTTATGCAATGGAAATCGATTTTAGTTGAAAAACACATTTGGTTTTTTTTGAAATATAAATGACAATTTATCTACTAGGCTGGCCTTATTGTGTCTCTAGAGCTAAAGGTTTGACAAAACTCACGATGGGACAGAGGTCTCATAAACATTACCTAGCGCAACAGGCTTCTAGTAACATCTATATGGTTGTCTACTCTAAGAAGGTCACTAAATAATAATCTCTGTAGTCCTTGACCAATCTGCTGAGCTCAGTTTCGTTACGCCAATGCCCCAATTCTGTTTACGCATAGTATTATATAGGATTATCATGGGCTTTTATTCTCAGGTAAATGCGCTGCGATGAAAGCACGCTTCCAGTACAATAACCCACTACCCGTCCGCCTTCTAGACCCTCGAAAAAATCCAGATCAACAACATCTAAGTTACTTGATTATCTGCTCACTTTTCGGTGCGTAAATGTCTCCGCTTTAATGCCCTTGAAGTTACGCTCGTTACCGGCTGCTAGGCTCCCCGATCTTCAATTGTTATGCAATTTCATTCGTTTCCACGATGGATCAGATCACATACAGCAGTGCAGTGACTCAGTCTCGGCCGATAGGTCGTAGCTTATAGTTCATACTACACACATACATAGTGTACACACTGGACCGATCAGCATCACTAGTCACCATCGTCTATCCGTACATCATAACTGCATCTTTACCACAGCCGTCCTCTCATTATCATAGGATACAGGAAGAATCATCAGGAATATATTTACATGTTCCTTTTTGGGTCTCAGAATATAAGGAGTGTGTCATATGTACATGAGATATCATACAGAAATTACATGAACCTGCGCATCTTCTCCAACTTTGAAAGTGCCCCTCTGATGTGGATACTTTTTCTATTTTCTTTCAACTTTCAGCATTTGCGACGCATACACTATTTAGGCTTACTGCTGTTTCTAGCCCGCAGGGCCTTCTTTTTCGCTTTGTCACATAGTTACCTCTACTCGAAAATCTTAACCAATCTCGTACTTTTCGTGTCTACGTTAGAGCACCTCGGGGCACGCACATATCTAGACAAACTTCAGCTCTATTACAATTCGAATACAATGTTTCTCAATGATACATTTCTTCGGTTCGGCACGTTACAGCGTCCTGGTTCCTCCTCTACTTCTTTCTTTATATATATATATATATATATAATCTATGTCGGCTTCTTCCTTTGCGCATTGTCGTCATGCTTTCGTGACGTTTTCAACCCCAGTCGAATTTAATCAAAGGTCCCTGCTGCCCAGCATCTCATCCGGAATATTCAACTCATTTCAATATTCTTGAATAGTATATCTTTAGTATTTTTCTATCTTTCGTCATCATCATTGGCAGCAGCATCACCATTTTTTTGGTTTGTTGCATTTCGATTCGAATGTTTCCGTTTTAATATTTTATAGAATAAACCTCAACAATGCGGCTGCTCCTGGATGAGCACAATCTGTGGATGCTGTTGATGTTGTCGGTACGTGTGGGTATGATAACCCCCCGTCGGGTTCAGGGCGACCATGCTGTCCCTTCCCAAATAGCCGTAGGGGTTCATGCTCATGGGTACTGGCATACCACGATTCATACCCGGAACCGGCATCAAGCCGGCGCCCAGATGTTGGACACCTGGCGCTCCACCCATACCGACCCCAACGCCGACTGTCATACCAACTTCAACCCCAGTGTCGAGCGCCAGTTCGTCGGGAAGCGCTGTTATATCATGGGCGTCCTTGATCGTCCCACTGCCGTGATTCCCTGGCAGCGAGCATTGCCGCTCTGGGAGTGGTGGCAATGTATTCATCAACACGTCGACCGGCTGTTGGCCTCCTGCTGATCCATTAACGTTACTTCCTCCTCTGACTGCGCTGCCATTCGTTGACGATGACCTGTCCGGACTGTGCGGACTCTTTGCGATGTGCTTGTCACTGTCAAACGTACATAGCTTACGAACAACTAAAGCACCGGTAACAGCCATGATCGTGGCCAGAGCTAGTCCGATGACGAGTCCCACCGTCAGAAATGGGAACCGCCTGCAGAATTCTTCTCGTTCGTCGCCACCAGCGGGACAATGCGGAACTCCATCGCACCATAATATCGGATCGATGCACGCACCAAGCTCCGGACATTCGTGCAGACAGTTCCGCTCCGATTGGCCTTCCACTGTCCGTGCGTACGGCCGAGTGACCTCAATCCAATGCACCTGGAAAGGGGTCTCCGCCGTGCCACTACATAATGTTTCTAGTAGAATGCGTTCGGGATGGGTCGATTCAATCGACGATGGCGATTGACGATCAGAATTCTCCTCTTCGTCCCAGCGCGGGCTGAACAGATCGACTTGTGGCTGCTCTTGGAGCGCATCCTCTTCGGACTCGGCGGTATGAGCGCCCTGGACGGTTGACGCGCAAACCTGACTCACGTGCTGGAATTGATCGCCAGAATAGACAAGTAAGCGGTCTTCAGTTGGACAGTCCGATTGCTCACGCCCTCCGTTCACCTTGATGTAAAGGTACTTCCGAGGTCGTGCTTCAATGAGCCATCGGCACCGCTGAAATTGCGGTTTATAGGTGTTACTTCGGATATGCATAGGCATGTTCATGTTTGCAGGTTGTCCAGCGCCCCCTGCGAGATAGGCGGAGCCGACGTTGCCTTGAAGAACTTCACTATTTCCACAATCGGTTGTCGGTAGAAATTCGAAACTCGCATCGAAGTAGAATTCAGTGAAATCTTCGGTAGGAGTCATCCCACTGACTGAGAACGTTACCGATACCGATGATCCAACTGATGACAGCTCAAATGGTAAAGATGTATTCGTCGAACATACACAGCCGACCGGTATTTGGAGACCTTTCCAGGTTTCAACGACTTTGATTTCGGCTGAACGTCGCCGATTGTACGCTGAGTTGATCTGTGTGCGATGGGTGCAGACGTAGCGCGCCTGGTTCTTGTCGAATTGTGTGCTGCACCTCGTCTCGGTCTTCAGTGAAAGTCTTTCCACTCGGATTCGAACAAGCTCATTTGCGGTACCGTGAAAGGTTGTTGTACACGATAGGTCCGCCGTACCGCCTCGTCCGAAATAGAACACGTTCTTGGGCGAGGCAAAACGTCCACGTTGAATGCCCTTAGGTCTTGTTGACATCTGACTAGCGCGATCGATTGAATAGAATTCCCGGTCGCACGATGGCCTGTCGTCGCAACCTTCGCAAGCGGCTTGTTCGCTAATGGCGTTGCCTACCGGTGCGCCGAACATTGTATTGTCAATAAATTCATAGCGAGCTGACCAGGTCGGTAACCCGCTTGTAGTCAATTCGCTACTCTTGAACGTCGTATAAGCCAGAGTGAAGTCGCTTCCACTCGACAAATAGCTTTCACGATCACGTTTACATGGCCGCTGCGGTATGAAATAAGCGAAGTCATGAGCATGACTGCACACCTTCGGCGAGCTTTTTTCGCAGAAGGTGCCAATCGATGTTGAGTAATTGCCAGGCCCATCGAACATCTCGAGCTTGGACGTGTCACATTTTTCTTCCGGGATCCACGGTTGCCGGTCTGGCGCATAATAACTCGTGAAGTAAATCCACAGTTTGTCGTTGTGTGAGCGACCTTTGAACAGGTAAGTGCAGATGGTACCAGCCGGGAGCGTGTGCTTCGGCGCGTAGATCTCGCCCGCTCGTCGATCACCGCTTTCTATAATAAACTTGCATTGTCCATCGGTAAGACGAAGTTCGTTTCGTGACACGAACTTAACACTAACATCGAGTTCCATATGGGTTTCTACAAGTTGCTGGTGAGCTGCGCTCACCAGCTGTACCGTGATAACTGGGCCCGACGAAACGATTGAAGGTAGCGACCCCGACCCGCAAAACTCCTGTAGCACAATACGTTCCGATGTCTCATTGAGATTTCCATCGAAGACGCGTACCACATCTCCGGCGGCACAGTCCGTTGTTAGTGTTCCAGGGGTGAATCCTGCAACCGTCGCCGATGGTACTACCCCCGAGTAAATCCTAACTTTATATTCATTTCGTTGTGACAAGTGAATCTGTGGTATAAGATCACTGCTACGCAGGTTGTGATTTTCTCGAATGTAATAGTTGCACGTTATGTTCCTAAGATAGAATCCAGGAAATCCTGGCGTCCTTATTTTGCACTGGCGTTTCGAGCAGTTGTTGAACATCCTATCGCAGTAGCTGCCCGGCACCAGCTCACCGTAGTAGGCGTTTGGGTGTTCCACCTTAAGGTAGTGGCTACTAAGGTAGTTCCTTCGAAGAAACCGGTACGTCATGAAGACACCGGACATGGAGGACGCTAGCGACGGAAAGGTGACCGTTAGACTGACGTTTCGCCCGATGCTGTAGAAGACGGGGCTTCTACCGACGAGGTTTCCGCAGAAGCTACCAAATCTAACAATGTGACTGTTGAATTGCGGCGCGGCTTCCGGTATCTGGTCGTTATCGGTGCTACCCTCCGATGCATGGTGGTGGTGATGGGGCTGGAGCAAAGCCTGTGGATTGTCATGGTTGTTGAGGCTGTCGTACGGCCCCGGATGAGGTAGAACTACATGACGCCGCTTCCACCGCCGAGCAGAGTGCGCGTTCGACATATCCTCGTCGAGAACCATGCTACCTTGGAGACAACTCGAAGATGAGTTCCTATAGTGCCCGGTATTGCAGAAAGCGAACAGAAACGAACAGGCGAACGTTGTGATTAGTACTTTAAAGATGGTCGCAGTATCAGCGCCTAGTTAAATGGTTGAATATTAAATACGCTCTAGAGATTATAATCTAACCAAGGAGATCACTATACTTCTATTTTCGATGGCTATGTAAATGGATGTACGCGCACTTTTACACCAGGATCAACATCGCCAAACGACTCCATTGACATACAAATTGCTTGCGATGACAAATGAGATATTCATCTGATTCCATTCAATAAAATGCAACATACGATAAAACATTAAAAGATATAACATGCTACCACAGTAGCTGGACAGCATCGTTAACTATGAGGAATAACGCCCAGATCAGTGGGAACTTTACTTTTTTAAATGTTGAATAATGTAGCACTATTATTTAGCTATAATCACCCAAATCATTTGTAATCAAACATTACGAAAAATAGAACACAATGGATAGAACAACCAGAAGTGGTACCTTTGTCTATCGCTCAGTTAGAAACAACTGCTCCGATTCTTCGGTCATTTTGTATACCAGCATTTTTACGCTGCGATCCGAAGGATGCCCGAGTAACAGACAAACGTAATGCGAGTTGTTGAAAACAATAATTGCACCTAACAACAGCGTGCACAGTGTCGACTCATAACAACTCTTTCACAATTACTATGGCGAAAATGGTAAAAATCTATTATACCAGGAACTTGTGGTACTAATGCTACACAGCTAGCGCGTTGACATGTTTGCGTGAAAATTCTTGCATGTATTGCCAGCTCAAATGGCAGCGGGCAAAAAAAAGACTGCAATTTTATTCGAATTATGCTTAATTAGTTAATGAATGCAGGTTGACTACACTAACTTACAGTTACAACAACCAGCCGTTCTTTACTCCCTGGCAGGCCAGTCGGCAGACCCTACCGATACGTGGAAAATACTTCATCCTTGTCATTGGCGGCTTCAATATCAGTTTCTATATATTCATCCACTAGCGACGCACGCAAAGATGGGCCACGCTACGTTAATTCCCGAATACGGAAAGGGTAGCGCCCAGCAGATGCGTCGACGCAGATTTCAAACACATTAGATTGCAGGGAAGGCCTCACAGCCGACCTATTTAGGCACATACATATATATAAACCAACAAACATGAACCAATATATATGTGTATATATATATATATATATATATATATATATATATATATATATATATATATATATATATTGGGACAACAGAACAGACTAGCCAGCTGGGGCAAGAAGACAAGATGGCCAGTTTCAAGCTGCCTTTCCGTCGCCACGTTCATGGAGCAACGCGAAACGTCTAGCCGCAGCGAAGGCGGGCGAAAACACGAGGAGGACCGACGGGTAAGCAGATGATGGGGCCGAAGAGCTATTTCATATTAGTTATTACATTATTACACATTATTACATTATTCCACGTCTGTAACCCCGATACGATAAAAGTGGCCTCCTCGTCAGGCAAGCCAGTGCAGTTTGTTCGCGGGCAGCGCCAGCAGGCTTGTTTCCCGCCGCTGCTACAGCGGTTCCAAGATGATCATGGCTCTCTAAAGACCATCGAGGCTATCAGAGCCCAGCGGCCATCTTTCGCAGAAACGGTGGCGGTTGTAGTGGCGTTCTTGTCGTCGTCACTTGAGCGGGAACAGTAGCAGGAACTTTGCAGGTGGGAGACGGGTCGTGGTGGACGGCGAGTCAGCAGGTGTTCCAAGGAAGGGAATGAAAAAGACTACCTTGAGTGGTTCTTCTACTTTGCAAGCGATAGGCCGCAGGTGGCAGACAACGAAGAGCAGGAGAAACAGGCCTTTATACCGTAAGATACTGACACGTAGCACTGAGTCGTCCGTCTAGAATACCGCTAGTGACTCGTTAGCAAGCGGCGTTACTCTCGGACAAGCTAGGACAAGGATGACTATCGTTAAGGATCGGTGCTGCAATAAAGCTGGCTAGGGTAACAGTAGTAAGGAACCTGGGCCTAAAACGGGGGCCGACCTATATGGCCCCTCTAGAACTGGTCCGCTTGAGCAGTGCGCGAATGTTCTCTCGACGGTGAATCCCTTAGCGACTAGACTGCCATTGGGAGCGATGAATTCACCAATCTGGGGACAGTTCGTAAGTCGAGTCAAATTGGTTTGTACAAATAGGCCGAGCAGTAGATCAGCGGCCTCTGTTAGCCAAGTGAAATTTTGTCAATGTAACACTATGAGTGGTTCGAAAAGTTAAATATTTTCCAGTAGGAACTTTCTGGTTAGCGGCAACGCTGTGAGCTAGCCAGGCTCTCAGGTAGTTGGTTCCTATTCATAACTTGAAAGCCGTTATGAAATCAACACTAGCGTCAGACATAGTGTAACGGAAAAAAACATCCGTTTCTAGACGCTGCGGCAGAATAACGTGTGAACTAGGAGACTGGAAATTCTGAATCCGATAAAAACAAGCGGTGCCTTATAACAGCAAATAAATAGAGCACTATTTTTATTATTTACCTCCAGCTATTTCTTAATCTAACTAAATACCGTCTACCAAGTTGCGTTGATTTAATAAGTTACTTCGTTCGATTTTTCCGAGAAACAACGACGCTAGACAATTAATTAAATAGGTATCATTATTTACATATTATAGTCGTTGGACACTTCCCGCAATCACGCAGTTAAACTTATGGCCTTAGTGACTCACACAAGTTGTTCGTTCAAACAAGCGAGCTGCATAAAGATGGACACGCTTTGTTTATAGGGTCAATACTCATGGGGTTTATAGAATCGGCACACGAACACAACCCAGCCGCTTCGCCGCAAAATTTACTATATAAAAATTCGGCATAAATAGGTGTTATGTAAGTTCTAGAACAATGCAGATATTGAATTTCTATTGAAAATTTCTGCTTTAACCGAGATCCAAATAGGTTATAATTATTGGGATGAAAAGCATTTCAGCTTACGGTGATCTCAAGTTCGCTGGTCTCGTTTGTCTGTATCAAAAACAACATTATAGTACATTGTACAATAATTACCACCACTATACATAGGAGAGGCGGCACCAATTGGTGCTCACATGTGGCTGTTTCTTGGACAAATCCTTATCGAGACCTATTCTACTTGGCACACACCCGAAGCAACAGCTTGTGCTGGTAGGATTATGACATTTAGACAGTATATAATACTGTTCCACTATTAAAGCTGGAGACAAACTTTCCAGGGAACCGCTGTGGCTTATCTCTATTTCGCTATGAATAAGCCGTAGGTAGACTGTTAGAAAAAGACGTGCGCATGTCTATTTATATATCTTGTTAATACCGTAATACTAACCCTTGCTGATGGTAATATCCAACTTGGAAGTTGAGAAATGTGATTTCGACTAGGTCGCCAAACTGGTCCCCCGCTGCGACAAAGTTAATTCTGCACACGAACGAAAGATGACGTTGAAACGGTTCGGTTATACGAAGCGTGTACTTGTTTGACACGTTTCCGTAATACGTCCGATTGCAGTCTGCGTGAGTCGTTCGAAAAACAGAATTATTTTAGTCATCACAAGGATTGCAACTCCCACCACCATCGCGCACCCACATACAGACACGCATACGCAGATACTACCCGCGATGTAACGTGCCGCCCCATACAAGAGCAACGAGTGATAGGATGGTTGGCGAAGTCGATGACGTGGCCGACGACGAGGCGACGAACACGGTACCAACGAGACGGGACCGTGTTGACGCGTAGGAAGCATAATAGCAGGCAAAAATACGGTAGCGATGAGTTAAAGCAACAGGTAAAACAAGTCGCGGCGCATCGAAGACACGCGGCAAAAAAAAGATTAAAAAAAAAAAAGAAAAAACATACGGGCAAAAATCACACGAGAATACAAAAATGAACATGGCAGAAGAAAAGCAAGGTTAGTATACGTATTAGTTGCTGTTCCTGTCGCCGTCGCTTCTGCCGCTCTTTTACTGTAAGCTCATGTCTTTGCCTACTTTTTTTCTTTGTGTTTTTCTCCCACTATCATTACCTGCATCTGGCCGCTTGCGTTTTCATGTTACGATTGGATCTAGGGAAAAGAAGATTTACTGCTGTATCTGTGATATGTCAGCTACGCGGATTTATGTGGCGTGGTACGGGACAGAATATGCGCAGGATGCGCGTGTAGAGGACGAAAACCGTTTTTTCCATGTTAGCCAAAGGCGACTGTTCATGTCATTTGTTTGTTTGGGTACAAAAGAAATAGAGAAAAGTTAACATCCTGCAATTGAGTTCTTCTTAGTCGCATTGTTTGATAAAAGTCTAAGACACTTAGATATGATATATATTCTATACAAACACCTGATATTTAGAAATCATCGCAGAGACAGAAACGTAATAAAGTGTCGTACACAACAATACACCCTAAAACCTACATAAACAATAAAAAGCTCAAACGATACTAACTGTATTTACGGTAAGGGCAATGGCGTTAACTAAAATGTTTCAACGAAGTGGGATCGTACTCAGTATTATAATAACTCTACAGGCACATGCAACGGTAGTTATAAGGGCACGACGAAGTTCGATTTCTACCGTGAGACAACAAAAACAAGCTTTAAATTGGAATACCCGATGTTCAACGTCGATGTTCCCGAGGTACAGGCGTTTGATTCCTTCTGTTTGATATTTGCTTTCTACTTTTCGGTGATTTCATTGATTTTATGCAGGTATGAACGTGCTATCCATTTTTTTTTCTTTTTGTTCAGGATTACCAGTACTTAATCGTAGGTAAACAAATTTCGAAATGATTTATTTTCAGGTATAGCATTAAAGTATCGCTCCCATCAAAGGTTTAACTGGAACAGGTCCTGTTGGACTGATCTAGGGTTTTTGCAGCAGACCCATAAAACGCTATGATAACCAGACCAGCAGCTATTAACCTTGATAATAGTACCTTATTTTTTTTAATTTTGCTTTGTTTTCTAATTCTTGACATCTATTGATTTTTTGACTGCCAGCGTGGCAGTATGCTTGTCAGTTATCGTTACCATAACAATGCATTCAACGAAATGAATATCAGGCCCCCAGATTGGGCCGCATGGTCCTACGGTTTAGGCGAGTTTATTTTCTGTTACACTTTCAGTTGGTTCTCACTTTCCACTAAAATATTGTCGTTCTATGCTCACTCTATCTAGTGTGTCGTGTATTTTCGTAGGCAAACCTGTGTTGTCGATAGAGGAAGCGGCAGTGTAAAGGCATAGATGAACATCAACAGTATACGACTCGTATCCATTGTGCGTTCGTATCAGACATACGTAGCTAATTTTTCGCCATGTTTGAATAGCGCTGGCTGATAGAGGTGGGCGCTGTCGGCCGAGACCAGAAAATACGTGGCTCTTAAAACCTAAATGATGCTGCCTTGAGGACAGCTTTACGGAGGATGTTCTTATCTATGTATGTGTATGTGTGTGTATAATTATCTATAACAGTATGTAATAGCAATTCGCATAAACACTCCCTTATTCACGTATGATAAATATCACTCTGCTAATCAACCCACGTAATCTAATCTATAGATATGTTATATTTCGCCGTACTCACTCGTGCACGAAAGTGGTTCATCACTTCCGTCACCACAGTCATCGCTGCCGTCACAAAATTTGTTAGACGACACGCAACGACCATTGTCGCATTGAATTTCGGCTAAAGAGCACTGGGCCGCTTGAACCACCAGTGGCCGAATCAATACCAATCCGACGAGCAACATCCAGACCGAAGGTAGCGCTAACCCAAATCTAAAATCTTGCGACTGCGCCATCGATTTAGCGAGGGTGAATTATTCGAGATGTCTGCTCCAGACCCTTTTGATGATGACGAATTGAAGATTTAAGTAGTCGTAGACTCAACTCCTCCGCAAATAGATCTGCGAAGGATTGCCGGATCGGGGTCGCACTGCGCGAAAGTGACCCCCGCGCAGGCGTCGAGTTCGACTGGGGATGTTGTTGACGGGGGTTTTGCGAGAGCTCTCACTGGAGCGCGCTCACCCCAGGCAGAATGTCGAGGACGTCGACATCAACGACAGACATCACCCGGGAATTCTGGAATCGTCAAATAACACGGCATATTAAGTGATGTCATAGAACAGAAGACGAATTTGGTACGTTACAACATGAATATGTATCATACAGGATGCAAGAGACCTGATAAACTATATCCAGAGTATGTAAATTAACAGACAATAATGTCTATACGAAAGGGTGATACATGAGAGCTGCTATGGGAGAAGTACCTCACAGCTATGCTGCATCTGCGGGTCTGAAAGTGAACGGTTATTTTAGAGCGACACGTGTTTTACTGATAATGAATATTATTGTCATTCGTTAATTAGCTAATTAGCAAATGGGCTGTGTTTCCAGTATTTGACATAAATAGTGTAGGTCTTTCGACATTATATTAGGTCAGGATATGTGGCCAAACTCACTTCGGGAGAGGATATCCTTAGGTCTACCAAAGTTAGCAAGAATACCGTTTGAAAAAAACATACATCTATCGCCACTGAACGCCCATATAATCGTGAATCTACGCCTGCTTAATTCCATCCATTCAAACGATAATATCAGACTTATTCTTGTCTAAGGTTGACCCTGCGTCGACCACGAAACAATATACGCTTTGTGATCTCGGCGTGTATTGGGGTGTACATACAGAGTACGTGTTAATTACGCTAATCATTCATCTAACAGCTATAATAATATTGCACGCTCGAATAAGATTACAACGGGTTTTCGCCGTCCGTGACGGAACGACCTAAAAGCTACGTGGTCTGTCGCTTTTAGATTACGCTCTAACAGTTGCTGCCGTATTTAATGAAGCTCTTCTCATCATTGGGGCTCATCTGCAAAAGCCCAATCTCAGCCGAAGTGTTTTCTTACAAAAAAAAAAAAAAGAGTAACGAAGACGAGGACAGCTATCGCTGCTAACAAAAAAAAAAATAGACACCTTAATATACTCGCGTTCATTTATTCGGTGAATGAGCTGTGTGAATTTCGATCGTGAACCGTTAGGAATGAATATTTACAATAGAACAACAGTATAGATCAATACAATTTTATGTGAACAATTCTAAAAACTAGCCAAGCACAATTCGTCTTCTTTTTTTTGAATGCGGAAGATTACGGGCGAATATAAACACCGGTGTCAAGTTCAAAAAAGAGCGCCAGTTTGAGTAATCCCGCAAAAATTCAAATTGTTTTCATGTGGTAGGATCCTTTTTTGGGTTAGCTTAACACAGTTATTTTGAAAGCGAACGCCTTCTTAAATCGACTGCGCACCGAAATAGTTTCTATGCGTATACATCCTATATCAAACGAAAGCTGATTGCTCCAGGCCTCAACACAGGCAACGAGTATTCGCCAAAGACCGAGTCCGACCTGAGAAGCTTGCGTCTTCGTTCCAGGGAAGGCGTCCCATCACAGGACAGAGGATCCTCACCACCTTTTGACTTCAAAAGGCAACGATACTAATAGTGTCTGCTGACAGGCCGGCCACCGGGCGCTCAAGATGGACTTAAGGGGAAAAGCCTCGGAAAATTACTTTGTCTTGAATTTACTTCTCATTCGGCGACCCATCTTACCCGCTAACTACTAGGAATATTTCGGCACTGCGCGACACCAGAAGAACCGGTCCTCCTGTGGTTTTTCCATTGTCACCGTTCGCTGCCTTTTTCCCTTTTCCTTTTTCACCCCCTTCTACTTCTCTCGTTCTTCCAAAAATTTCCCTGAGCTGTCGACCTTCTGGTCTCGCCCAGTACGACCCCTTGCCTCCACAAGGGAGCCGGTACCACTCCATTCCCGCTAGTTTACTCATACTTGGCTCTCTGCTTGCAGCGGTACAATAGCTGCCTTTGGACATCGGCTGCTCGCCCCTGTTTCTAGCTGGCGCACGCTCACCCCCTTTTCTCTATCCACTCTCTCTCTTTCAAACATTCGTCACCTTGAGCTATCAAATCCCTGTGCACGTTTACCAGAGGTTTACGATGGATTGATCTGCCGGGCCACGTTGGGATTGAACAGGTCAAAGCACAGCCAGGCATAGCCGGGAGCCGCAATCTCACGCAGTAGGGCTGCTAGTCAAGACGGGTGAAGGGCTTAAATCTGTTGCGACGGGAAGTTTCCACGCTTTTCCACTGGGTCTCGGCATCTCTTTTCAGATCCCGTAAATTTCGCACATTGGCCCCTGTTTCGAAAGTTTTAGTAACAGCGTACGCATACATCTTCACATGTGCGATATAGCCATGCACCAGTATTTCACCAGGCACATTATTGAATATGTATTAAAAGTACGACTGGAAGAAGATCAAGAATTTATACTAAGCGTTCGATTACATATGGTTAAACGCTTTAGTTTTAACAAGTACAAGTAGCGTATTTAGATTATATATAGATAAGCATATCAACGACTTGTTCGCTTATTCCGCTTACATCTACTTGCAGAGGGGTATCCTATGTTTGCGTGCCACCTAATATTAACTGGTTGCCGGCACACGTGTACTATGATACCATTATTACTATTCTGGGGCCCAACTGAGGTGGCAGGGGCGATACATTATCTGCATTGGGTCCAATGCATTGTATTGGACGCTTGTACTAATGAACCGCCGGCGAGAACGCGGCCTTCCTGCATTATTCCTCTTTTGCGTCCTTCGTAAGACTACTCTCTGATCGCAGCTCGAAACGAGGACAGTATCTCGTCTATTCGTATGATATTGCTATAACGCATTCATCAATTGCCTATAGCTATCTTTTATAAAGGTATAGGCCGCTAGCGTTCCTGGCTTATACCGCTTGGTGCCCTACTAGCCCAATCTTAACTACTTTAAATAACTGTTATAGTGGGCCGATACAGCGATCGGCTGTGTCCATATTTCGAATTTTATCCTGTACATTGGGATCCACAAGAGTAAAGGACAATACGACAGGAGCCCCGAATCTCAGTTTTCGTGCTGCATAGCCGACAGAGCAAATATCTATATAGTACAATCCAAATCGCTTGAATAAGTACTGGGAATCCCTTAGAATAGGTTCCCTATCGCAGGTGAATGCAGGCCGGGGCCTGTAGATTCTTGTTGCTACTAAGTAAATTGTATGTGTATTGGATAAGGTTGTTGTGTCACCATAAGACAATGTCCATAGCAGGAAGTAACGTGTTCCGGATTAGCTCGGAGCCTTGACTGAGAAGTTGTGACCTGTGGGTTGACGATACATACAGTTTTTGGTGGATATCATCCCCACTTCTACTACATACTCGCAGCGATAGTCTGAATCCTGCACAATACTATCGGAGACAGACAAGCATATATATATGGCAAATCTTACATAGGTTGACTACAGATCTGCAGATCGTACTCACGTCTGTTTGTTCTCTAACTGGATAACTACCTAATACAAACATATCAGAACGTGCGAATAGGAATCGTAATTAAGGTTTAGTCGATATATAATGCTTTGATATATTCAGAATGAAAGGGACTAAGCCATAGTGCTCCGCGGGGAAGCGTAATATAGTATACATAGTTACAACATATTTTACGGTATAAGCATGCCAGCTATAGGGTTTTTTGATTTAGGCTTATTTCTATTGTTACTATTATTCACAGCATTACTATTATAGCTTTTTAGACGGTGTTTATTGCCTGGAACCATTGAGTATATGACGTATATCTAATAATCTACAGTGTTCATAACAAACGCACAGGGTGCGAACGTGTGTTACACAGAAAAAGAACAATCGCAATTACGAATCGAGAACTAGAAAAAAATGTCGAATCTTACGTGAGTGGCATGATGTCGGTTAGAAGAAAGCTTTCCATTCCGCGGACACGACGTCTCACACAAACTGCTGAAAATCTATTCGATCTCAGCAGAAACATCGTTGCTACGGCTAACGCACCACTATTCGCCGTAACAGTCAGAATTTTTGCTTCGTTTTTCTTATATCTTTCTCCGAATGTACCTATCCGACTACGCAGTAGTCGAGCAACGATTCGGACCCCTTACTTTCGACTGACGGCCCGACCAGCTGCTGAGAAAGTTCCCACTCCTGCATTGGACTACCAAGCAGGTCCGGTCTGCTTAAATTCTGATTTTGACTTGACAAATACCCCTGAAGCACCCGTTCCCACATTCCAAACACCTAGAAGCCCCACTTCCCTTTCACCTATTTGCCTCCGCATATGTATAGGGTAGATTTGAGAAGTCCAGCTTCGACATGTTAGAAGATGTGTTGGACGTGTTACTGCTACTGCTGCTGCCCTAGTTTATTCGCGTATCTTGCGTGACTCATCTATATTTCGGCCGTAAGTTGGGGGTGGGCAGACAAGTAGCACTTGGGGTGGCGCGACAGCAAAAGGGCATTTTAAATCACTCAACTCAATTTGCTATATCGCTCAACTCGAGTCGCTATATTTCGTCGGACTGGTGGTCGCCTTTGACTCAGCTACTCGAAGTGGCCACGAAAGCCAAAAGACCAACCGCCAGCGGAGAGCAAGCACCGGTCGCGTACCCACGTATACCTTCTTATCCTTTGAGTGGTAGAAAGGACCGGACTACTATAAGAAGGGCGAACCTTTAATAATAAAGCGCTTAAGGCTTTAAAAGTTCTGTCGTACGTCTGACAAAAGCAGAGAAATATAGTGGATGCTCATATGCATTTCTATTGAGCATTGTAGCTTTGCATCTTACCTTAATTACAATTGGTTCGCTATAGACTTTATTATAGTTTGTGATGTTGGCAGGGAAACTAGGAATGCCTGAGACACGAATTGTTTATGATACAAGTACATATAAATACTGCCGGTACAGGCTGTATTACTGTAGGAATTTGGCGTTTCTCTATGTGATATTGGCGCGGCAAGATTCCCTGTAGTGTACACGCAGACATATATGTATATATCGGAAGGTTCGGAAGATACCGCGAGCGCTTTGTTCGGCTGATATATTACTCCGCAGAGGTCGATAAACAGTAATGTACACGTGTGGTCCCGACGTGTAACGGAATCCATTGTCTCGCTGTCCTACTGGTTTTTCAAGGGTGCCTGTAT